CACAACCAGAAGTAGTTAAATATCAAACTTGAGGTTCACAAAAATGTGATAAGATCAAACACCTTGAGGGTAGATTAGAGGAAATGTTTAAACTATAACCGAACCACCTGGATTCAATACCGAATGCATTACCAAAAGAAGAAGAAGAAGCAAATTGTTAGCACAATAGACAAATAGTTGTTTGCAATTGAACAATAAGTGACGACTATCTTAAATTTTGTGATGAACAATGTCTAGAAAGCTATATAAGAACTTACTATCAGCCCAAACACCACCAGCTGAAAGATGCCGAAATTCCTGGAGAGCATCACGATCGCGATTCTCATTTCTCTAATCGCTTGAATCGTGATCAGATAAAGGTACGATCTCCTCCGATCCTTGAATGGTGATCAGATAATTGAGGTACAATTCTCTAATTGCTTGCAAATCGTTTGTATAAACTTCTCTAGCTACTCACTGGCCGCCGAGATTGTTCAGGCGGAGGTTTGCCGGAGGAGATGGTACCGGGAATTAGGGATTTGGCAAATTATACATAAAGGCTTTGAAATGGCAACGCAATTCAACAGAAGCATGATACAGATTTTTCAACACTCTCTTTTCTGGTCACCCAAGAGACGACGGAGACGACGCTGCGAAACATAAAACTGGGACGTGAGCTATACGCTGCGTTTTGATGCAGCTCCTAGACTTGCGTGCCGTTTAGGAAACAAAACATGTAAAATTAAGAGAAAAGTGTGGCGTTTTCAATTTCATTTTGAAGAAAACGGAAAAGATTATTATATGACCAAAAATATAATCCACCGCCGGGCTTCGACCCCGGAAACATGAGAGCGTTACGGCGAAACTTTTGCTAAATAATTAATTGTAATTATATATCTCTATACTATTAAAAGAGAAGTCATTTAGAGTAAATGTCCAAAATCCTATCTAATATTACTAAAATTGCCATTAGTTTTAAATTAAAGAAATTCAATTGAAAAGGGTAATTTTGTACATATGTAGTGGTAATTTCAGTAATTTTAGGATCAATTTCAGACATTTTGAAAGGCATTTTCGTTTTTTTTTATGACACATTAATAGCATTTTCGTTATTTTAGGAAAGTTTTATAACTGCATAAAAAAAATGATAAAAAATATATAATAAATTTTTAAAAATTCTATCTCCCAT